TTGGCCTTTTATTTGATTAAAAAACTAGGATTACCAATCAATCATCCATTAAATTCACCATACATTGACACATGTCTAATGTCATCTAATATTATTAAGTAGCAAGCATGGTTAAGAGATGAATGTTGAATAATATTACTAGATTGCATATTCACTTAGTAATTTTTTAGTATAACATTTGTTTTTCTTTTTCTTTTTTTATATAGATGTTGCAATCCGAAGAGAATGTTGAAAATGTGGGTTCAAGAAATTCACAAGCAAGTGTAGCTCCAACTCCAATTAACACGTAAGATGGCACAAAGATGAAGAGGAAACCAATTAAGCTAAGATCGATTGTGTAGGACCATTTCACAAAGTTTAAAGATGAGAAAAAAGACATCAAAGGTAAATACAACTCGTTGTAATAAGATACTTGCTTATCATCCTACAAAAAATATCACACCGCACTTAAATATCATACGACTATATGCAAAAAAACCCTATAGTATTGACACCACACAAACTCGGTTAAATCATGCAAGGCTTGTAGGAGGAGAAAACACTCTTAACACATAAAAGTTTGATCAAATTGCTATTAGAAAGGCTTTAGCTCACATGATCATTGTAGATGAACTTTCATTTAAGTATGTAGGGGGTAAGGGGTTCATAAGGTTTATGTCTATCGCATAACCTAGATTCAAAATTCCATCACAGTTTATGGTTTCAAGAGATTGTCGCCAATTTTATTTAGATGAGAAATTAAAATTGAAGTCATTCTTGAAACAACATTGTAAAAGAATTTGTCTCACTACGGGCACATGGACATTTACTCAAAGAATCAATTACATGTGTTTAATGGCTCATTTCATTGATAATAATTGGAAGTTACATAAAAAAATCTTGAAATTTTTTCTAGTTGATAGTCATAAGGGAGTAGATTTAGGCATTACCATTGAGAAATGCTTGATTGGTTGAGAATTGAAAAAAATTTTACGATTACGATTGACAATGCAAGCTCGAATGATGTGGCAATTAGATACTTAAAAGATGTTATTAAGAATTGGGGTCATAGCATCTTAGATGAGGATTTCCTTCATATGAGGTGTATGACACATACTTTGAATCTTGTTGTCGCTAATGGGTTAAAATATTTTAATCTTTCAATCATTCGTGTTCGATTGGTCGTTAGGCATGTGAGACAATCTCCAACTAGGTTGAAAAGATTTAAGAAATACACTAAACTTGAAAAGATTGATTTTAAGAGTTTGCTACAACTAGCTATTGCAACTAGGTAGAATTCAACCTATTTGATGTTAGATTTGGCTTTAAAATTTGGGAGAGCTTTTAAGAGATATGAGCAAATTGATCCTTTATATAGAAGTGAATTTGATGTAGTTTATGGTGATAATGTTGTTGGGTCGCTTAATGTTGATGATTGGAATGCTTGTAGGAAGATGGTACGCTTGTTGAAAATTTTTATGAACTTACTTTGCTTATTTTGGGTTCTTCGTATGTGACTTCTAATGCTTATTTTGAAGAGATTTTTTCAGTTGAACATGTTTTGAGAAAATGGCAACGAAGTGGGAATCTTGATGATTTTGCATTGGCTAGTCAAATGAAAGAAAAGTATGAAAAGTATTGGGGGATATTAAGAAAATGAATAAATTGATTTATATTACGACAATACTTGATCCTAGGCATAAACTTGTATTTGTTGAATTTTCAATCAAAGAATTGCATGGTGATTTGGATGGTCTAAATATGACAAATCTTGTGAAGGAATCTATACATGTCATGTATGATTTCTATTGTCGGTTGTCAAAACCTCAAGATCAAATTAGCCAAAGTGATGGGAGAGTAGAAGTGTCAAATGCAAATGAAGAAATGGTTAATCAAGGGGAGGCTAGCATAAACAAGAGATATGGATGTGTTTTAAAAAATACAAGCATGATATTGGATGTGGAGAAAATAAAATGGAGTCGGAAAGGCATCTTGATGAAGATGCTAAAAATGATAATGCTGGTTTTGATATCTTAGAGTGGTGAAAAAACAATTCTCCTCGATTTCCCATCCTTTCATAGATGTCTCATGATGTATTAGTAGTTTCTATTTCTATAGTTCCCTCAAAATTGATATTTAGTACCGGAGGAAGAGTTTTTGTTGCCGTTAAGAGCTCTTTAACTCCTAACATAGTGGAATATCTCATATGTGCTCAAAATTGGCTTAAAAATTCATCTACACCAATTACTATTAAAGAAAGTTTGCAAAATGTTGAGAAAATCGAAGCCGGTAATTTCTATGACTTATCTTTTCATTTATTATTTCTTTCCCGTATAGTAATGTTAAAATGTTTTTTTTTATCTTATATTTTTCAGATTTAGCAACTATTTTCACAACGATAGATATTTGATGGATTATGATGTTTTGGCTTTTTGGTTAAGATGCGTAAGTTTTTAATTTTTATTTGCTTAATATAATAAATTTTTAAATACTTTGATAGATTATTTAAGTTAATATGGGGTTTTTTTTAATCAGCAATGTCATTCGACTCATTCGAAGACTTGGAAGCAAATGAAATCCATTTAATTATGTAATCCAAATGAATTGTATTTTGATGATGTTTTTAACATTTTGATGATGTTTTTTTTTTTTTTCATTTGAGTTAATGGTTTGTATTTTATTCAGGATGTTTTTTATATTTTGATGATGTTTTTTTATTTGAGTTAATGGATCGTATTTTAATTAGGATGTTTTAAGTATTTTGATGATGTTTTTTTCGTTTGAGTTAATAGATTGTATTTTAATTGGGATATTTTTAATATTTTGATGATGTTTTTTTAACAAATAACATGATATATTTTAGTTTTTATGTGTGGGGCAGTTCTGCATGTACATTTAAGTATTTAACAATTTGCAAGACAAAATCATAAGTGTCTGCCGTCTGGAGCATAGAGGAATTGTTAAAAAAAATACACTAAGCACTAAGCACTATGACTGTCTCTAGCTTAGCCCGTATGGTTTGTGCTGCTTCTTGGATTTTCAACAGTTGTTGAAATTCCAAGAACTGAAGAGGCACTAAGCAGTAAGCACTGTGACTGAATACTGATCAATCTCGAGTACGCAGAACAGAAAAGCCGAAGGAGCCTTTACTTAGCCCGTCCCCTTAATTATGTGTCAACCTGATTTCAAATTGACAAAAGTAATGAGGTGCCAGTCCAACAAAAATAGCAAGTGGACTACTGGACTTTGTGTGCTTTATTAATTAGACAGTGACTTTGAGTCCACAAAATGAAAGGCCTCTGATTAGTGATTACAATTTACTAGCCCAACGGGCCAAAGTCCAATCAGAATTAAAAAAAAAAAAAAAACAAATTCAGTTTAAACCAAATTAATCGAAACCGAAACAAAAAATTTTGGTTTTTTCATCAAAATTATTTTGGTTTGATTTCGATTATTATTTCTTCAAATTCGGTTAACCAAAAACCAAACCGAATTAGTACAAAACCTAACCGTTTAACCGTTTGCTTACCCCTCTTTGGAATGACAAATATAATCTTACCTAAAATAACAATTTTATTATAAATGTTGCACATGTCTCTCTAAAGTCTCCTATAAATTTGTTGACTTTTAAAGATATTCGTCTAAATAGATATTATATTAACGAAAAAATATAAAAAATACTAAATACTTATATATTATAAGTATTATATAGAAAATATATATTGGAGAAATTATCCGGTTTCTCTTCCGGTCTTTATTACAAATATTTGAATGATTGAAACAAATGACGTAGTAAACCAGAAATTTACTAATACTTTTAATATGTGGCCTAACCGATTAGGTTATCCTAGGTATTTCATGATATGAAAAATTATTAAAAATTCATATAAACATCTATTAAAGAGCTAGAAGATTCTTTAATTTAATAAATTTTTATATTCTATATGTTTTCGTAGTAGATTAATTATAAAAAATCCACTTGATTTTGTGCAACATTTTTTAAAAATCGTCGCTAAATTCAATTATTTTGATGACTTTTTTCTCTTACTTCGGGATGAAATTTTAATTTTTTAATGACGGATAAACCATGGTTAAATTAACGACGCAATGCTTGAACTATCGGTAATTAATTAGCGATGAGCTTTTTAGCAACGGTTTTAAACCATCGTTAAAATTAATTAGCAACGGTTTTTCTTCATTTAGCGATGGTTTAAGCTATCACTAAATGAAGTTTTTTTTGTAGTGATGCACTGCATTATATTAATTTTATAAGAATAAGTAACCTCTTAATTTTTAAAATAAATCCATCATCAGGTTTCATAAAATGGACATAGAAAAAAAAATTATGAAATTGCTTAGAAAATAATAGCGAAAACTAAATATATAAAAAAGGATTTGCATAACACTGCGTGTGTATATATATATATTTTGAGAGAAATATATTTTTTTAGTTGTTAATGGTTTGATGTATAAACTAGTTAAATAATCCATAAAATAACATGATTATATTTTTCAAATACATATGGAAAAATTGCAGTATTAAATCTATCCTTACTGATAAACTTTTCTGCATCTGCTCCAAAACTAAAAATAAAAGAATTATAGTCGGGCCTTGTAAGATGTAACAAAGATCATAGGCAACATTTTAGAATTGATTGCTAAATGGAAATATATAGTTTAAAACTACACATGATATTTCCCTATGATGCTTGCCTGGATTTTGACTTTCAGTAGGCTTTCGCTGTAAAGATATAGTTACGATGACATTAGCTTAGCGTCCATAGTCACATTGTTTGTCAGACTGTCAACTCCAACAATTTCGTCCGGCCTTTGAATCTTTGGAGCAAGCCAGCAAGGCCTACAAAAAACACCAATCCGGCCAAAAAATTACTTGACATAACCAAGAAATGATAAACTTTCTTTTGTCTTTATTGTCTCACGATTATATCCATAAAAGGCAGAAGCAAAAATATGTCAATGACATAAAGCAAAGGAGCTATAATTAAACAACATATAGCGATATGGGGTCTAAAGCTATAGCAATCTCAACCCTTTTGTTGAGGATCTTCACTCTCCTAGCTTTAGCTGCTTGTGTGGTGCTTTTGGTTACCAATTATTTTCGTGACGCAGTGTTTGGTGATGGCTCTAAGGTAACTTTCAAGAATCTTACCACTTACAGGTACACAATACTACTTGAATAATCAAATGTCAGTCTAGATTTTTATTTTTATTATTTTGTTACGATCGAAGCGAAGTAACATAAGCTGAGTTAGAATATAATTTGATGTGGTAAAAAAACTTTCAGGTTTGTACTTTCAGCAGCGGTAATCGGTGCGGCCTATACACTCTTACAATTACCTTTTGCTTTATACTATGTTTTCAAGGAGAAGAGGTTGATAAAGGGCGATCTGTTGCTGGAGTTCGACTTCTATGGTGACAAGGTCAAAACCAAGCACTAACATGTGCATTTATATCTCTTAAACAATGCTGCACAATTACATCTAAATTAAACACACACACCTAACTTTCTCCTTCGATGATTATACGATTTCCCAACCATCATTTTTTATCACTTATTAATTGTTATTTTGTTTCAATTATATATATGTGTGTATATGTGTGTGTTTGTTTTCATATGAATTTTTGAATTGTAAAATTTTCATGTAATTTGAGGTTTGAACTTGAAACCTCTGGTTAATAAAGGTGGCTTGTGAGAATATTTTTCTGTGCCTGATTATTTTACCAAGAAATGTTTAGCCTGAAAGAAACTAATATTGTGAATTATCTTTGCAGACCATCGCCTTCCTTGTAGCCTCTGGAGTTGGTGCCGGTTTCGCGGTCAGTGTTGAGATCAAAAACATTTTCAAAGAATTGTTTAATGCTTTTGCAGACGCTGGTTTTGAAGGTACAGATGACGCCAAAGATCTTTATGATAAGTTTTTAAACAGGGGAATGATAGCTACTGGTGCTCTTGCATTTGGATTTGTTTGCATGGCTATACTTTCAGTGATTTCATCTACCAACCGAGCTAAGACTACTAAAGGTTTCTTCGGCTAAAATTCTATACTTCGTACCTACGTTCCCATGGATGGCATTTTAAGGCAATTAATCCAATTATATATAGGAATTTAATTGTATTTATATGTTCTGAATAATATTTGAAAGTGATCAAATGTATTGGTTATTCTAATTTTTTTTCAATTAATTGTACTTGTCTCGACGCCTAGTTAAGGACATGAAAAGAACAAGAAACGCTCTTTTGTTTATTTATTTTTCGTCACTTTTACCAATTTTCATATTGATTTACTTTTTTCATAATTTTCAATATTTTCGGATCCAAACATTATTGCACATAATACAATGAATATTTGACATATTAGTATACGTGAAATTTGGTTTGGGCCTCTACGCCCAATAAATTATATCATTTAAGAAAAATATGTTGGGTAATGAAGGGACTAATATCTTTTGGGTGAGGAGCTTATGGATCATAAACTCTTGAAGCTATATAAGTAGATGAGATAAATATGAAGAATAACTTTCCTAACAATTAGGAAAGAGAAGCTAATAGAACATAAAAATAGCAAGGAGGCAGCATTGGTAAAATAGAATCATACTAGTTGCAAGACAACATATATAAAGCATTACAAGTTAACATATGGAGTTGTAAAAGAACATGAAACACCACAAGAGGTCACGAAAGAACCAAAGGAATAAAATACAAACTCTTGAAGGAAAAAAAAAAAAAGAGAGAGAGAGAGACTTTAGCAAACGCAACAATCAAACTCGCAATACTTGCAACATCATGAAGCTCTTTAGCACTATCTATTCTAAATCGAGCATGGAAGGATATTTCAATTGATTTTATGAAGGGTTTGCCAAAATCCGAGGGGAAAGATGCAACTTTGGTGTTTGTTTACAAGTTCACTAAATATGGATACTTAATAGCGTTGTCCTATCCTTTTTTAGTCAAAGATGTGGCAAGAAAATTCATAGAATAGATTTACGAGCTTCATAGGTTACCAACCTCTCGTTATCATTAATAGGGACAAGGTTTTCACTAGACTATTTTGGAATGAGTTGTTTACAACATCATGCATTAAACTCCTAATGAGTTCGGCCTATCATCCTCAAAATGATGGTCAAACTAAAAGGTTAAATCAATGCCTAGAGACCTATCCGAGGTGTATGTGTCTATACTATCCATGAAAATAGAATAAGGGGTTGTATTTAACACAATAATAAAATAACACCAACTTTCATTCTATTATACGGATGACTCATTGTCACTACTCGACATTTAGTAGACTTCCAAAAAAATCTATTAAAAATTAATTTTTCTGTTTTATTTATTTATTTACCGGGGATGTAGTTAAACCATATTTTAGAGTCGTCACCTAGTATTAAAAAAAAAAAACCTAAAAATAGCACCGATTTAAAGATTCGCAGTAAGAAGTTGGTTAGACCTTTGGAAAGACATCAATTACCCAAAGGCACCCTTTCCGAGGAAAGGTATCATGTCTAGTTTAATCTTAAAAATTTATCTCTTGAAAATTTTAAATTTTTCTAAGTTAATTCCTAGGTAAAAATTCCAAGTTTATTACCTAAGGAAAATTTATATTTATATTTTTATTTATAACATCATATTGAATCAATTGTCGAACCCCATCGTCGGGAGTATCGTTAATTCAACATCGGATGCAACTTCGATCTTGACATAACCGATATATCATAGAATGACCTAATTATAAAAATATGATTGATTTAAATTAATTAATATCATCGGTCCCTATTAGATATGAGACTTGTTAATCAAGCGTTTCCTTTTTTTATTTGTTCTTTTCTCTTTCTATATTTTTTTCTATCATTTTTTCTATCCTTTTTCTTTTCATTTCTAATATATATATACATACATACATACATATATATATATATATAAAGGTTAATAGAGAATCATCATCATTCTTTAAATATTAGGAGACTTAATGGTTCATTCACTTATTAATTACCTAATTTAACTATCGATTATTTAAGCAATATTCCATATTAAGTAAATCTAAAATTAAACTACCAAAAGTTTAAAGGATTAAAACCCAAAGCATAAATATGAGTTTAAAATTACCTCCAAATTTTCAAATTTAATTAACATTAAATACTAGGCTAAACTAAAATTTAAACACTAAAAGAAATTAATGACTAGGCATTTAACTAAATAAATTAAAAGAAATAGGAAAAAGAACTTCAAAAATTATTAAAAAAAATAAATAAATCTAGACTATAAATGAAAACATGAAGCATGCATAAAAATTTCACGTTTAATTGACCTAGGGACACTAATTGAAATAAATCGTAGGGAAAATTAAAGGTTGTTGGGCCTTTGGGACAAGTAGGTTTTTGACCCATTGAGTCCACACCAATTAGGTAGGCCAAAACCAGCTAAAACCCAAGCAAACCCTTCTTCTCTTCCTCTCGAGCTAGGCTGGACCATCCCGGTTCCTTTTTTTTCTTTTCGGGTTAGGTCGGACCCAACCCACCTCCATTTTTCTTTTCTCTTGGGCCGGGCTAGACCCGGTGTAGTTTCCTTCCTCTCCTCTTCGAGCCAAACCCCTTTCTCTTGTTCTTTCCTTTTCTTTACCCTCTCTTTTCTTTCTTTTTATTTTATTTTTTCTTCTTTCACTTCTCCTACTCTTATTTTCCCCTAGCTCGTCGTGAACCGGACTTAGGATTATCAAGCCAGTATTACCTTGTAACTTGAGTTCATGTGCTTGAGATGTCTTTGAAAAATCTAAAAACTAACCTAGAAATGAAAGAAAGAACAAAAATGGGTGTTTGTAGGTACCTAAAATTTACCCAATTCTCGGAGAAATTGCTTGGTCAAAGTTTCACAAACCGAGTGTGTCGGGAGGTTTGGTGTGAACTTGGGAACCAAGTATAACTCGAGGGTGAGCTTGAATGGCCTAGAAAGAGACTTGAAACCTAGAAGTACCTTCTTTGATAAACCTAGAAAACCTCTCTCTAAACCTAAAGATTTGAAATGAAACCTTCCCTTTTTCTTGCCTCCCCCTCTTTTTTTCTCTTTTTTTCTATAGACAAGATTGGATTGCCAAAGTAAAGTGTTCCATGGCCTAAATTCTATCCACGATAATCCCTAAATTCTTCCGATTAAACCCATAATTGTTCTTGTTTTTGAAACCCAAGAAACGCAAACCTATCCAATTCTTTCAAATCCCCTCAAAATCTTCTCTAGATCCCCTTTCCAAATCCTCTCTCATTCTATACTATTTACACCCAAATTTTAGTTCCTCAAATACCCTAGGATCAATTTCCATTAATCCTAGCCCTTACTAATAGAATTTAAAATCTAGGCTCCTCGTAAATTTTGGCTACTTATGAATAAAGCCGTAACTCAAAAAAAAATCATAGTGTGTGTGTGTGTGTGTGTGTGTGTAAGAGTGGTGCGGATGGTGTTAAGGTGGGTGTAGAAGTGTGTGCAACATGATTCTTGGTAGGCATAATTGGTATCCAAGAGTGAATTGGAAATTGAGGAATTTGTCCTTAAGGAAACAATGAACAATACCGAGGAATTGATTTTGCATCGCAATGAACGATAGATCATTCGATCACCACATCGTTTGCTTTTTATTTTTATTTTATTCCCCGCATGTTTCAATTCCCTACAATTACACTCTTAATTTTCATTCCAATTTTACCCCTATTGGCTTTTGATTTTATTCCTAATTTTATTCCATTGCACCCTTATTTCATTCAATTTTATCCCTAATTGATTTTCAATTTCAAATTGGTTTCAATTGAAATCCTTATTACCTTCAATTATATCCCTAATTAATCATTTCATGCAATATTTTTTATGGTTTTTTTTGTCTTTATATTATTTTTTCAATTTTTCATTTCCCTTATACATACATACATACATACATATATATATATATATATATATATATATATAAGATAATCCCTAAAATTAAACATAAAGCAAATAATGATAAAAATAGATCTAAATAAACATGATAATAAAATAAAAGTAAAAATAAATAAATAAATAAAAACTAAAAAATATTACCCAAAGTTTGGATTATGATATTTCCCTCTCTTTACAATGGTTATGATGCAAATGACAACGAAAGTGTGAACTTCATATTGGGTTTACTTAGTGAGCTTGTAAAGAAAAAGTAAACCTCGTGGCAACAATTATTTAATTGTCATGGGTGTCTCATCTTGAAAAAGTAAAATGCAATAGCCTTATTGTCAAGAACAATCTATTCTAAAAAGTAAAATACAATAGCCTTGTTGTCAAGGATGGCCTACCCTAAAAAGTAAAATACTATTTTAACCTTATTGTAAAGAACGACTCGCCCTAAAATGTAAAATGAGATGGTATTGTTTTCAAATGTAGCCTCGCTTTAAAAAACAAAATCTAATGGCCTTCTTTTCAAAGAAGGTTGATCCTAAAACTTAAAATATTGTTCAAATGAAATCGAAAAAATGAACCTCTAACTGTGTGATTCAATTAAAAAAGATATACGAACCACTTTAGACGATCTTTTTTTTTTTTTTTTGAAAATGGGATTAGAGAAATGAACCTTTAACATGTAATCCGATAAAAGAAAATATATAATAACCATTTTTGGTGATCTTTTTCTTCTTAAAAATGAGATTAGACAAACAAACCTTTAATAGGTGAACCAAATAAAAAAGATATACGAATCATTTTGAGTGATTTTTTTCTTTTTGAAAACAATATTGGAGAAACAAACCTTTGATAGGTGATCCAATTAAAAAAGATATATGAACCACTCTAGGTGTCTTTTTTCTTTTTTGAAAAGAGAGATTGGAGAAACAAACTATTGACGGGTGATTCGATCAAAAATATATACGAATCGATTTGGGTGATCTTTTTTTTAAAAAAAAAAGAGATAAGAGAAACAAACTTTGATAAGATGATCCGATCAAAAAAGATATATGAACCGCTATGGTGATCTTTTTCCTTAAAAAAATGAGATCGAAGAAATAAACCTTTGATAGGTGATTTGATATAT